TCCAAAAAACGCATCGGGTGAAAACACAGAGATGTGAACCTGTCCCATAGGAAAGCATGTGAAATGGACTGCTGTGCGTTTCTGCAAAACGCAACGGAAGACGCATAAGTGTGAACCTAGACTAAAGGGTCATGAAAGGGGTTACGATGCAAACTTGGAAAGATTTTATGCACCCCGAGTGCAACTTGTATCTTTCATCTTTATTTTTGCAGAGAAGCGTTTCTGTCTAATAAAATGTAATGTTCCTTCGATGGGAACTGAGAATGATAGTTTGGTTACTACACAAAATATCGAAATATTAAAATAGCTTTTTTTTCTTTTTAGCTTCCTTATTGCTGCTTCATTATTTGTTTATGTTTTTGTAAGCATTTGGGCCTTTTTTTTTTTTCTATCGTGTCCTCTGGCATATTTTGACTGTTAATATATGCAGCAAAGACCATTCAATTTGCATATTTTAGATTTTAAACAGCATTTTCTATAAAATGATGGAGTTTAATAGCGATTGCAAGCAAAGCAATGCAACCCATGATTGGGAATCTTTCATTTTTATAGGAACTCTATCAAAACGATATTATTTTTTAAAAGGCTAAGTGCTGACATGGGCCTAGTGATAAAGAATTTATTTTGCATATGCTAACAATTTAGTGGCACAATCGGAAGAACAAAAAAAGTTTCTTTTGGATGCAAGTTTTTTTGTTTTTCTTTTTTTTTTTTTTTTTTTTTTTTTTTTTTTTTTTTAAGGTGCTCGTTTCATAAAGAAAAAAACAGAACTAAGCAGGAATTTAAATGCATTGCGCCATACGCAGGTCTTTATGTTCTGATGGGTTTGCTGGAAAATTGTCGTAGTCAGGGCAGATGGGTTACTCCCAAATACCTTGATGGATCCAAGATAGAAAAATAAAATGCTGTTTGAGCTGCATCCTCAGTGCCGTCTAGAGCAATGGGCTTGTCTTTGTTATACTATACACTCGCCAGCCACTTTATTAGCTACACATTGCTACCCGGTGTGGTCTTCTGCTGCTGTAGCCCATCTGCTTCAAGGTTTGACGTGTTGTGTGTTCAGAAATGGCATTCTGCATTGGTTGCAATAAGTGGTTATTTGAGTTACTGTTGCCTATCATCTTCAAGAGGTCTGACCATTCTCCTCTGACCTCTGACATCAACAAGGCAATTTTTGTCAACACAACTGGATATTTTTCTTTTTCGGACCATTCTCCGTACACCCTAGAGATGGTTGTGCGTGAAAATCCCTGTAGATCAGCAGTTTTTGAAATACTCAGACCAGTCCATCTGGCACCAACAACCATGCCACGTTCAAAGTCACTTAACCACATGCTGCCCAGCCACTGTAGAAATATGGCGGCAGGGCGGCACGGCTGGGCAAAGCCACATTTTAAAACGCGTGTTTTAAAAACAGGTAGGGAGCGCGCGAGGCGCGCCAGCGCCCTACCTGTCCCACCGATCCCAGATGTCCCGGCGATTAGTGGCAATCACTGACAGAGAGCAGGGATGTAGTAGCTGTGCTTTCTGTCAGTTCCCTGTCAGCTCCTGACAGGCTGTTCGGGAGAGAAGACTTTATCTATCCCGATCAACTGTCCCCTGTGCAGTACACACCCCCGCCCCCCTAGTAAAACACTCCCCTCACACAGTTAACCCTTTCACTGAATAATAAAGTTAACCCCTTCCTCCCCAGTGCCATTAGTACAGTGTCAGTGGGGTTTTTTTGCACTGATCACTGTATTGGTGTCACTGGGGATGTCAGTGACCCCAAGTCAGTTCCCCCCCAGTGTCAGAATGTCCGCCGCAGTCCCGAAGTCCCCGCCATAAGTCGCTGATTGCCGCCATAAGTCACTGATCGCCGCCATAAGTCGCTGATCGCCGCCATTATTAGTATATAAAAAAATTAAAAATCCCAGTATCTTTCCTGCCATTTGTAAACGCTATAACTTTCACGTAAACCAATTAATTTACACATATTGGGGTTTTTTTTTAGCAAAGACATGTCGCAGAATGCATTTTGGCTGAAATTTATGACTAAATTTGATTTTTTAAGTTTTTTTTTACTGGACGTTTTATAGCAAAAAGTCCAAAATATAGTTTTTTTCTCCTCAAAATTGTCAGCCTTTTTTTTTATAGCGCAAAAAATAAAAACCGCACAGACGATCAAATATCACCAAAAGAAAGCTCAATTTGTGGGAAAAAAGCCTATGAAAAAGGTACCAGGGGCATCTCATGGGGCCCCCTACTGACCCCGGGCCCTCAGGCAGTTCCAGAGTTTCCAAATGGTCAGTCCGCCCCTGCTCCAGACACGTACATTGCTGGAGCTGAAGTGACTGGTCTGGTCACACAGTAGAAAATGTTGCATACACTAGTAGGTTTTTGAACGAGCTTTCATATGGACATTCATACAGAAATTCTAAGTACATTCAATGATTTGTATAACGGCATTCAAAAGTACTTAAAAACGTTGTTGTTTTTAACATTTGATGTTGGAAAGTGTGTAATATCTCAAACAAAAACCACATTCACTGATAGGGCTCATGTATACTGCAGCTGATAAACTCACGTTTAGGAGCTTTTCTGCGTTTTTTTTCAGCAGCCCCTGAACTCTCCCTAATGTTCTCCTATGTGTCCATGTACACATTGTCGTTTACAGTCGTTTACAGGCATTTGAGTTTACAGTTGTTTTTTTGAATGCACCAAACTTGCTTTCAGCAGTCGATTTTATCAGCGTTTCAAACGCAAAACGCGTCTAAATGCGGCAAATCACGTTTATAAGTGTTTGCAATTTTTTTTTTAACTCTTCCAGTTCCCAATGCTGTCCAGAGCCTTTTTTTTCATCATGAAAAATGCATGCAAAGCATTTTCAAGGTACTCAGATAGACAAAACACTGAACACAGGATGTTCCTACCAAGCTTGTCACACATTGAAATGACCAATTCACACCTCAGACCTCCCCACCCTTGGAAAGGGAAGATATGTTAATGACCATTCACATTCCTCATGAAGACCCCCTGCCAGGTGGCCTTCATGACTCACTCAACCAGACACCTTTCCCACCCTTGGAAACAAAAGAAATGTTAATGAGCAACTCACGCCTAAGCTAATCTCAAAACATACTGCTGTCACTGCTTCTACTCTCTGTATTTCTCTGAAACAGTCTGAAATAGTTAATAATTTACCACTTTTCAGTGCATTCTGGGCATTTGGAAGGTTCTCCTGTGCTTATCTTTAAAAAACGCTTCTAAACGCAAACGCACATAAACGCGTTATGCAAACAGATGTTTTTTAACCTACGTTTTCCAGCAGTCAGTTTCCATTGTTCAGAAGTGTCCCGTGTACATGGGCCTTAGAAATGTATTCCTTTGAAAACATCTTCCATCCTGCTCCTTCAAATTTATTTGTCACTGCAGTCAAAAACCAATGTAGACTTGACCCCAATAACTATTAGAAAATCAAAAGAACAGTCTTAACCACAGATATACTGCTACAGGGCTGAGCAAATTCACGTACATACAGTATATACGTGATTTGCATTTCCGGGTAGGGGGCATGTGCGCATGTGCCACCCTACCCGCGCTGCTATTGGCTGCTGGGGATATCAATCACCTGGTCCCGGACGGCGCTTCCCAGCCGGGACTCGGTGATCGTCAGTAGGGCTGAGAGGGGAGAGATCTGTGTGTAAACACAGATCTTTCTCCTGGCAGCATGGACATGCTGCTTTGTATTTCTCTGCACAGATACAAAGCACCATGCCTTCCCAGTAAAACAGCTGTCAGGAATCTAGGAGTGACCAGAAGGTGTGTGGACTGACACAGGGAAACGCAGGCCTCGGGTACAGTATAATACAGTTTATTATTAGCCACCCAGATATATATATATATAAACGCACAGTGAGCAAACCAACCTTCCACAAATCTTAGGAGGTGCAGGAATACAGGCGTAGTCAGGGCTGGAGAGGTGGAACGGTTAGGTCGGCCGTAGGGTTCTGTAATGACCGTTTGATGGTACCTCTAGCGGTCCCCAGGACAGGATTCCCCAGGGCGCGGAGTCTAAGTCCCAGTCTGCTTATTCACCAGGGCCCCTGATGGTGGGGATGGACTTGGAGCAGACAGGAACCAGGTCGCGGCCCCTGAGTACACCTGCTAGTGGTAGAGGGATCCGCCAGAGGTATGTGCAGGTAGAAAGCCTGATGTGAAGAGGCAGAAGGTTGTGAGCAGGGATGGCTGGATCCGTGCAGGATGGATGGATGGCAGAGTAGTAGTTAGCGTGGTCAGGCGGGCCAGGTCAGCAATGTGCGGGCAGCAAGGTACCAAAGGAGCAGGCAGAGAATGGTCAGGGTCACAAGCTGGGTTCAGTAACTCACGGGCAGCGCGGTACAAAGGATCAGGCAGAGAATGGTCAGGGTCACAAGCTGGGTTCAACAGGAGACGATCAGCAGAGGTCAGGATCAAACAGGGTCAGCAACGAGGCAGGACCACAAGATACCAGATACAGGGGCTCATGGGAAAACATACACCAAGGCCCAGACTGCAGGTCTGGCCATCCCTTAAATACACCTTCTGCAATCAGCCCCAGGTTTGGCTGATTGCAGAAGTGAGCTTCTGGCTGCTGAGAGCACCCGCTGGTCAGCCCTGGTACTGCAGCCCACACGGCAGGTGAGTCCCACCACCAGTGCTGAGTCCATTCCTGACAGTACCCCCCCCTCAAGGAGCGGCCTCAGGACGCTCCAAACAGTCCTTAGTGGGCCAAATGTTCCACCGCCGGGTCAGGTAACTGGCTGAATATCCTACTGCTGGAGTAAACCGGCTGGCTAGGTTTCCTGCTGGTAGACTTCTCTTTGTGTAGGAGAACCCAGGAAGGCAGGTCACTGGACACAGGATTTCCAGGAGCAGGCTGGGAATCAGTTATTGGCCAGTTTAGCTGGACATCAGGGGCTGGCATGTCGGGCTGCACAGCAGGCAGAGGCACGTCAGCGGGCACCAAGTCATCTGGCACGACAGCGGGCACAGAGTCACCGGGCACCGAGCCATCTAGCAGAACCGCGGGCACAGAGTCACCTGGCAAGTCAGCGGGCACCGAGTCACCGGACATGTCAGTGGGCACCGAACCATCTAGCAGAACCGCGGGTACCGGGTCACCAAGCTCGACAGCGGGCACCGAGTCAACTGGCACGACAGCGGGCACCGAGTCACCGGGCATGTCAGCGGGCACCGAGCCATCTAGCAGAACCGTGGGTACCGGGTCACCAAGCTCGACAGCGGGCACCGAGTCAACTGGCATGACAGCGGGCAACCGAGTCATCAGGCATCGGGTCATGTGGCTCAACAGCGGGCATTGGGTTCCTCAGGCATCAGGTCATCGGGCTCGACAGCGGGCACCGAGTCAACTGGCACAACAGCGGGCACCGAATCATCAGGCATCAAGTCATCTGGCTCGACAGCGGGCACCGAGTCAACTGGCACCGAGTCAACTGGCACGACAGCGGGCACCGAGTCACCGGGCATGTCAGCGGGCACCGAGCCATCTAGCAGAACCGTGGGACCGGGTCACCAAGCTCGACAGCGGGGGCACCGAGTCAACTGGCACGACAGCGGGCACCGAATCATCAGGCATCAAGTCATCCGGCTCAACAGCGGGCACCAATTCAAATGGCACGACAGTGGGCACCGAGTCAACTGGCACCGAGTCAACTGGCACGACAGTGGGCACCGAGTCAAATGGCACGACAGTGGGCACCGAGTCAACTGGCCCCCCGAGTCAACTGGTACGACAGTGGGCACCGAGTCAACTGGCTGAACCACGGAAGGCGGGTTCTCAGACGACAGGCTGACCGGTTTGGATACTGGCAGGATGGTACAGCGAGTGGGAGCAGGGGACTGACATGTGGTAGATAGCAGGGTATACTGGGCTGTCACTGGGGGTGCTGTCGGGAATGCAGGAAGAGAGCTTTGAACAGAGGAATGATGAGAAGCAGGACTGGTTGTTTGCAAGCTGACTGAGGCTAGCTGTAACAAGTCTGACCATGTCTGCAGTAAGGGTTGGACAACGCTCAGCTTACACAAGGCCTGTCTGGTCGAAGACTGCACTGCGTTTATTACACTTCTTTAGCAACATGTGGTGAACATGCTGAATAATGCTCCAAGAAGCAATCCGGATCATCCTCCAACAACCATACCAGTGGATATTATTTGACTCACCCGGAATGGAGGAAGGAATTCATCCTGCTTCAGGGGTACTAGATGAAGCCAAACTCAACACAAGCCTGAATCAATGGTTGCACCTCAGAGAGCTCTAGGTCCTGACCTACTAGGGAATGAGCGACCCGTATGCACTCTAGCAAAGCTGATCCTGGTATACTCCCGCAGAGTCTGATAGGCATATTCTCTGTCATCTAAAAAACTAGCATAGACAAATACACAACCTCATCAGGATGCATCCTTCACAACAAGTCAAGATGGCTTCCCTGTGCAGCCACTTCTGGTCAGGAAAGGCCTTGTGTGATGTCAGGAATCTAGGTTGGTTTTGTTTGGAGTGACCAGAAAAGGTGTGGACTGACACAGGGAAACACGCAGGCCTCGGGTACAGTATAATACAGTATAATTATTAGCCACCCAGAATATATATATATATATATATATATATATTCGCACAGTGAGCAAACCAACCTTCCACTAATCTTAGGAGGTGCAGGAAATACAGGCGTAGTCAGGGCTAGGAGAGGTTGGAACGGTTAGGCCGCCGTAGGGTTCTGTAATGACCTTTGATGTGGTACCTCTAGCAGTCCCCAGGACAGGATTCCCTAGGGCGCGGAGTCTAAGTCCCAGTCTGTTATTCACCAGGGCCCCTGATGGTGGGGATGGACTTGGAGCAGACAGGAACCAGGTCCGTGGCCCTGAGTACACCTGCTAGTGGTAGAGAGGGTAATCCGCCAGAGAGGTATGTGCAGGTAGAAAGCCTGATGTGAAGAGGCAGAAGGTGTGAGCAGGGATGGCATGGATCGTGCAGGATGGATGGATGGCAGAGTAGTTAGCGTGGTCAGATGGGCCAGGTCAGCGATGTGCGGGCAGCAAGGTACCAAAGGAGCAGGCAGAGAATGGTCAGGGTCACAAGCTGGTTCAGTAACTCACGGGCAGCGTGGTACAAAGGATTCAGGCAGAGAATGGTCAGGGTCACAAGCCGGGTTCAACAGGAGACGATCAGCAGAGGTCAGGGATCAAGCAGGGTCAGCAACGAGGCAGGTCCACAATGATTAACCAGGTATAGGGGCTCATGGGAAAACATACACCAAGGCCCAGACTGCTGGTCTGGCCATCCCTTAAATACACCTTCTGCAATCAGCCCCAGGTTTTGGCTGATTGCAGAAGTGAGCTTCTGGCTGCTGAGAGCACCCGCTGGTCAGCCCTGGTACTGCAAGCCCACAACGGCAGGTGTGAGTCACCAACCACCAGTGCTGAGTCCATTCCTGACAACAGCACAGAGTACACAATGCTGACACTTGGTGATCATCAAGCAAAGGTGAGATCTGTGTTGTAAACAGCAAAGGTCTTCTCTGCTGTCAGCCATAGGACATTACCAGCTGTTGCATCTCTCTGCACAGATTTCCAATAGCAAATATCAATCACAGGGGTTGTAGCGCTAATCGGTGTATATGCTGATATTATTGAAGGTCATCAATACATGATATGTAAAAAATTCCTATAACGTGCCCATATAAGGTGTAATAGTTGAAATTCAAATTAAACAACATTTGTATTAAAAGTGTCATATATGTGATTAACTGCGTGAGCACTATGTGTGATCACACCACCCACTATTAAGTACTACTCTTAAAGTCAGAGATGATGGTATGAGACAATAGTTCGAAATCGTTCAAAATAGTCTTGTTTCTTTTGTGGTTCTGTGTGCTCCATCAGGTCTTTCAAAGTTTGATGTGCCAGAAAGGAATGTTAAGATTGCCATAACTCACTCAGATTATAATATTCATATACGGCAATTGTTCTATGATTAACAAAAAAAAGCCAGGGAGGTTTTCCTTAAAGGTTATCAGCAGAGCTGGTCAGGTCCAAGAGATCCCCATTCCTTCAGGTAATCGGCCACACAGCTGCCGTCCTCCAGAATGGGGTCATGTAGTGATAAAAGTATGGCCATTCGGACCTCCTCGTGGTCTCTGCGGTGTGAAGTACACCGCGTATGGCTCCACTTGCTATGGTTTCGTGTAATAGCACGTATTAATAAGGGGGTGTGGTCTTATTGGCGCACCGGGGGGGCAGCAAGGGGGCAGGACAAGGTAAGTGAAAAAAGGGATCCGAGCAAAGCTGCAGGGTATTTCCCCCAAATGTAGCTCAGGGTTCGATTTTGATATGATAGTTAACCCCCAAATAAATCGGAATACCCCCAAGGGGGTTTTAAATTTATAGTCATGGCCAAAAATATTTTCACCCTGCATTTCTGTCAGTTTAAAGCACCCCTTCC